GACTATATAGGATGCCAGGATCAAATCTAGGTCAGCCATGTGTAAAGCAAGCAATTTACCAGCTATACAATCTTTCTGGTCTAGATGAGGTTTCTATCTCCCCTACAGGGTCAAAGGATAGCGAGAAAGAAAACATATGAAGAATATAAAAGTTCTTCATGTCTTTACTAAGACGGCTCTTATATGTATTGCATGATCTAGGAATTTCTAATTTAAAGGATATTAAAATTTTTCTGCTCTTAATCGGATGCTTTAGAGATTTCTTCGTAGAAACAATGTTTTCAGACAGCACTGAAATTATTTGACTATACACAGAAGCACAAGCAATATATTTTCATGGATTTTTAGCTACACTCAATGGCACTCAGAACTAAATCCTGAACTCTGTGCTCAGCTTCCACTCGTGGCAAGGCACAGGAGATCATATGGGATGCTAGGGATTGAACATGTAGGGAAAGTGTGTGTAAGCAAGGATAATGCAAGGCAAGTGCCTTGCCCACTGTACTCTCTCCCCAACAATTATTGTTTATTTTTTGACTCTATTCGACTCCTCGTTTTCTATACTTCGACCCATCTCTTAGAAACTCCGTGCTCAAAATTCTCATAGACCATCATGGAATAGTTACTAGTAGAGTAGCTGAGCAGCTAAAAGGAAAGTTCTTCGTGTGCGCGCATAATAGCTCCAATTCCCCATATTACAGGCATGTTGATAATGTGCTGTCATTGTTACTTTGTTATCTGTTATTAGAACGAACAAGGCTAAACACAGTGTTAGAACATGACTTTAAACTTTTCATCTTCCTTTTTAAACAATTTATTCCCTGCACAGGAAGAGACACCAATCCAATTTTACCACTTTTTAAGCTACTTCGTGGTTCCTAACATCGTGTCTAGTCTAGTCTTCTCTAATCTGATGTAAAATCTGTGTGTATGTAATCCAATTTAAATCTTCTCTCTTCCAGGGTGGCTTCCAAGTGTACAAAGCAAGGGAGTAAATGCCTTCTATTCTTTTTTCCTTCTAGCTTTATTTATTTATTGTTTTGTATTCTATGCTGCTTCTGAACTAAAAGACAGGAAGAAAGAATCAGTGAAGAACATCTTAATTGAAAGGCACAGTTGTCATATGTCATTGATAACACCTGTAGTAGCTTATAGTAAAATGTTTAGTTTTTTTGGCATACCTGTAGATTCCTAGTGTTGTCTGTGAGAACTTCCATTTGTTATTTCTGAGAATATGATTCCTATCTATGTGGTCATTTATAATATCTCTAATACTCTGCTCTGAGCCTCATTTTTCCTGTGGTCATTACATACATAGGTAGATACTCTGCTCAGGCCAGATTAATCTTTCCTAACCCTAGCAGGGACAGAATCTAGTTGTTACTTTTTGGATCATGACAAACTTTGTATATGACCATGCTCTTAACTTATAGTTAAGTATTATGGCACTTTGGCCTGGCCCATTTCGATGCCAGGGTAGTTCACAGCTTGCCCTGTGTCCATCTAGTCCCTCATCGCAACACTGCTTTAGGGGTGCTAGGAAGTAAGGGCAACTGAGGCTTAAGTCGAGAAAACAGATGCCCAGTATTTGGAGTCAATTAATTCCCAAGGTACAAAAGCATAGTATTAACTGAATTATCATGTCTATACAAAAAGGACAATGCTCTGAATTAACTATGCATAGGACTTGAGAAGAGAAGAGCAATATTTACAAGATAACAGAGTATGATTAGGAGATAAAGGTGATTGGCTGGTTGGGGAAGCAGAGCACAAAGAAAGAGTTTACAAATAAACACAGAGGAATGGGAGCACTGTAATGGGAGTAACCCAGTAAACATAGGCTCTCTGTGGCAAGGCAGAAAGGACAAACTAATTTTATCCTACACAAAGTCCTTATTAAAAACAACTCATATTTGTTTCTCTATGTGCTATCTACATCAATCTATAGAAAATACAACTCCTCCTTTTTCATTAACAGAAGTGCCCATCATGGCTAGGGTTAGATAAATCTTCCCTTATCTCAAAACACTTATCCCCACAGTTACTTATGAATGAACTTCTAATCAGATTGGGTGTCTGTTAGTTGTCTTCACTTGATGCAGGAGGGAAGGAGAGGGAAAGGAAGGCGAACATCAGATGGCACTGATTTTTCTCAAGAAATCCTGTCTTCCAAATCATGTCTCTTAGGAATGGGAGAAAATAAAATCAACCAGTTTCTGATAGTGAGTCTCTCTGATATGAATCTAAGCACTTGACATGAATTCCAACACCAGTGAGAGAAAATTTAGAGTTTTGAGCTTACTAACCTCTAAGTATTTCCATGCAAGTAAGAACCCTTGAGAGGAAAAATCACAAAGTAGAATTTCATTAAAATTCACTAAATTTTAGTAGAATTTTAGTAGCACTGTAGCACCATCATCCCGTTGTTCATCAATTTGCTCAAGCGGGCACTAGTATCGTCTCCATTGTGAGACTTGTTACTGTATTTGGCATATCAAATACGCCATGGAAAGCTTGCTGGGCTCTGCCATGCAAACAGTATACTCTCGGTAGCTTGCTGGGCTCTCTGAGAGGGACAGAGGAATCGAACCCTGGTTAGCCGCCTGCAAGGCAAATGCCCTACCTGCTGTGCTATATCGCTCCAGCCCAGAATTTTAGTAAAGTTCATTAAAGTTTAATGAAAAAGGTATTCTGTTTATTTAACCCTACTTAAAAGAATTTGTCAATGTTATCATTGTAGACTCATTATAATAACATACACTGATTTACAGACCAAGCATGTTTTTGAATGTTTAATTATTGCATATATATAAATATTAGTTATTTATTACAAAAATATTTATAATATTCTTGTGTTAAACATCTAAATTTTCTCAGATTTATATACAGTATACTGAACTACAGTTATTTAAAGTATTTCAGAATTAAACATAATTTTTAAATTTTACTTGATATATCACTTCTAATATACTACAGTGTTAAAGTAGTCATTACAATAGCAGTTGTTTAATAAACAGTATATAAGAGCTGTAGAAAATTTCATTTTTAAAATAAACTGCTTGGCCTCTCTGGCTCCTCAGAAACAAATCTCAGCTTTTGCTAGAAATCCCTCTAGATTTAATTATTAAAAATTCAGAATTCCAAAATCCTATACAATTCATAATCATATGCAATTCATAATCACTCTCACTGTTACTGTCCTCCCATTGTTCACCGATTTGCTTGAGCGGACACCAGTAATGTCTTACAACAAATTGTGAGACTTGTTGTTACTGTTTTTGGCATATCTAATACGACACAGGGAGCATGCCATGCTTTACCGTGCAGGCGAGATACTCTCAGTAGCTTGTCGGGCTCTCTGAGAGGGGCAGAGGAATTGAACTTGGGTCAGCTGTGTGTAAGGCAGACACCCTACCCACTGTGCTATCTCAATTCATAATCAGAAATAGAAAAAAAATTGTCTAATGTTGCTTTTTCAGCATTTTGAGCATTGGGGTAAAATCTCAAATAATAATGGTAGATCTGGTGTCGAAATATTGAATGTAATCAAAGTAGAGAGAAACTAATGTGAAACCACCTGCCACACAGGTAGGGGGAGGGTGTGGGATGAGGGGTATCCTAGGGGTTTTGGCAGTGGAAAATGCCCATTGGTGAAGGGATGGGTGAGTCATCATTTTATGACCGAGATTTAAACCAAAAACTTTGTAACGGCTCTCATGGTGTTTAATAAATAAATTAATAAATCAACTGGTGTAGGCCCTAGTGCAATAGTATAAGCAGTGTGTCATTTGCCTTGCAAGAGGGTGATCTGGGTTCAATCACCAGACTGATGTGGTACACTGAGTACCACCAGTAGTGACCCCTGAGCACAGACTAAAGAGTAAGTCCTCAGCACCATTGAGTGTGGTTCCAAAGTAAAAATAAATTTAAAGAATAAATAAAGAAATGATGCATTCACTTTCTCAGTTCATATAAATTTGGAACTATACAGAGAATAATGATGTACTGGGGGCTCTTTCAGTGTCAGGTGAATGAGGCCCATTGCTTTTGGCACTGTTTTTGGCATATCGAATATGCCACAGGCAGCTTGCCAGGCTCTGCCATGCAGGCGGGATATTCTTGGTTGCTTGCCGGGCTCTCCGAGAGGGATAAAGGCTTTTAGGGTGGACTCTAATCACCCTTACAAGGGTTCCCATGGTTCACATCATATTTGAACCCCATCAAATATGATGTGGTAATTTTGGAAGATGGGTATTAAGTATCTTATGATGTGTCGTGTGGCCTGACATTTCATTTGCTCTCAATAGAACAAACATCTCCGAATGGCAGCAGCTATGTGTGTGTGTGTGTGGGTCGAGAACTCAACATGAGGAAAAACTTGGCACCAGAACTGTGCAGGAGGGAGTGGCATGGAACGCCTTCAAGAGCATCAAAGAATTTGTTAAGAGGACAAAGAAGCTCCAGCTCCAGACACATCTTTTCGACTCCACCGTTCCACCGTTCGTCGTGCACTAACATATGCCTCAGAGACCTGAGCCCTACAAAAACAGGAGAATGCTATTTGGGTATCCCAAGGAGGAATCGAAAGAGCTATGCTTGGAGTATCACATTTCACTCAAGTGAAAGAAGGAATCCAGACTGAAACCCAAGCATGAAAGTTTATAAGTCTGCAACTGTACCTCATTGTGTTTCACTAAAAGATAAAAAAAGAAAAGAAAAGAAAAAAGAATCAGGGCCGCTGTCTTGTTTGCTAAGGTATCGAAAATCAGATGGGCCAGACACATAATGTGATTTAGAGATGACTGCTGGACTAGAGCAGTTACTGACTGGATTCCATGGACCATCAAAAAGATGTGTGGCCGCCCACCTACGAGATGGTCAGACATCTTTGTCAAAACCCTGAACAAATGGTATGAGACTCTTCATGTTCCTGGAGTGAGCAGATGCCATTGGACTATACTAGCACGCAACAGGGACAAATGGAGACGTTACTGATGTCCATTCGAGCAATCGAAGATATATGGGATAACAAGTGATACAGAGAATATTAGCTTGTTCCCTGCATAAAAATGACACACAAATTCATAAATTCTTTTATACATTTTTCAGTAAAAGTTGACTATCACATTAAAAGAAGGACAGAGAGAGAATGATCTCATTAATCTGAATAGAGTAACAGGATGAGGGAATGTGGTATAGTAAAGAGGAGCAAGGTTTCCGTAGATTGCTCTCCCCAGGATATAGGGAGAAGAATGGAAAAGAAAAGAAATCAGGATGGGGATGGGGGGAGGGAAGAATGAGTAAAAAGAGGTAGATGGGGAGCAACTGAAAGGGTTAGGGGTCAAGGACCTCAGGGACATCAGTGACGCAGAGGAGTGGTATAGTACATATCCAAACCACAGAGTATGCATCCAAACCCTAAAAACATGAGCACTGAACTGAAAATGTGCCTTTTAAGCTGACAGCTGGGGTAGGGAATGAGAGTAGGGGGCCAGTTGAAGAAGGACCTTGGGAACATTGGTGAAGGGAAATTGGCATTAGTGGAAGAAATGGTGTTAAAAGAATGTAATCTAAAACTCAATTAAAGAGCTGTGTAAACCACAATTCTTATATAATAAAAATAAAATAAAATGCATTCTTTTTAATTAAATATTTTTATTTCATAACAAAAGAGTTTGTGACAACCAACTATGATAGCCAGACTCCAAGACGGTACCCACTAGTTAAGATTCTTCTGCAGTCCCCTTTCACACTATATTGAACTGGACATTCTATCCAACAGAATATGGCAGAAGTGGTAAAGTTCTGAGAGCAGGTGACAGGATTCAGTTTAAATCTCTGCCTTACTTTTATAAATCACTCAATAAAAAAGTAAAGTACTGTGTTTTAATAATATTTAAGTAGTTCCATGAGACAAACAGAACTCTCGAGCACCAACATAACAGCCCAGGTAAGTGGGTCTTCTTAGGATTGTGTTACCTAGCCGTACTGAAAAACTTAAGTAAATGCTACTGCAAACTCAAACAGATAGCCAGACACATTTAGACAAATGATTTTGAATTTGTAGACCCTCAAAAATTTTAATTAAAAAAAAGATCTTTCAGTATTTAAGACACTAAATTTTGGTATGATTTCTTACATACTATTAGTTAACAAAATAATATGCTAATTGTTTTGTTTCACTGTGTATCACTTGTATCACTTCTCATCCCATTGATCATTGATTTGCTCAAGTGGGCACCAGTACCATCTCCATTCATTCCTGTCGTGTGCTACTGTAGCCCAATGGCATCAGCTAGCTCCAGAAACATGAAGCATATCAAATTGTTCATTCAGGGTTTTGATGAAGAAGTCCAACGATCTCATAGGTGGGCGGCCACGCGTTCTTTTTTTTTTTTTTCCCTTTATTTTATTTTTTTTTAAAGTTGTAGATTTACAATTTTTTGTGCTTTGGTTTCAATTATACAATGATCAGATACCCATCCCTCCACCAGTGCCCATTTTCCACCACCATGGATAATATCCCTCCCACCCCCATCCCCCCATCCCCCCGTCTCTGTGGCAGGGCAATCCCCTGTGTTCTCTCTCTCCTTTTGGGTGTTGTGGTCTGCAAAAGAGGCATTGAGTGGCAAACATGTTCAGTCCATAGTCTACTTTCGACATGTATCTCCCCTCCTGGGAGGATCCTCCAAACATCCTTTATTTGGTGCTCCCTTCTCTATCTGAATAGCCCTTTCCTCTAGGATACCCGGCTGGCCTCTAAGTTATGGAGTAATCCTCCTGGTGCTGATCTCAGCTATTCTTGGGTATTAATCTCATACTTTGTTACTTTATATCCCCCAGATGAATGCAATCTTTCTATGTCTATCCCTCTCTTTCTGACTCATTTCGCTTAGCATGATACTTTCCATATTGTACCACTTGTATGTAAATTTCGTGACTTCATCTTTTCTAAGAGCTACATAGTACTCCATTGTGTAGATGTACCAAAGTTTCTTTAACCAGTCATCTGTTCTTGGGCATTCAGGTTTCTTCCAGTTTCTGGCTATTGTAAAGAGGGCTGCAATGAACAAACAAGTGCAGATGTCACTTCGACTATACATTTTTGCCTCTCTGGGATATATTCCCAGGAGTGGTATTGCTGGGTCAAATGGGAGCTCAATTTCTAATTTTTTGAGAATCGTCCATACTGTTTTCCAGAAGGGCTGAACCAGTGGACATTCCCACCAACAGTGAAGGAGTGTCCCTTTCTCGCCACATCCACGCCAGCATCGGTTGCTTTTGTTCTTTTGAATGTGGGCCAGTCTCTGAGGTGTGAGATGGTATCTCATTGTGGTTTTGATCTGCATCTCCCTGATGATTAATGATGTAGAGCATTTTCTCATGTGCTTTTTTGCCATTCGGATTTCTTCTTTGAGAAAGTTTCTGTTCATTTCATTGCCCCATTTTTGGATGGGGTTGGATGTTTTCTTCTTGTGGAGTTTAACCAGTATTTTGTATATCCTGGATATCAACCCCTTGTCAGATGTGTATTCGGTGAATATCCTTTCCCATTCTGTAGACTGTCTTTGTACTTTGGTCACTGTTTCTTTGGAGGTGCAGAAGCTTCTTAGTTTAAGATAGTCCCATTTATCTATCTCTGTTTTCACTTGCTCGGCCAGTGGCGTGGCATCTTTGAAGACACCATTAGCTTCAATGTCATGGAGGGTTTTGCCAACTTTATCTTCAATGTACCTTATGGTTTCTGGTCTGATGTTGAGGTCTTTAATCCATTTTGATCTTACTTTTGTACATGGTGTTAGGCAGAGTTCTGAGCCTATTTTTTTGCATGTAGCCGTCCAGTGATGCCAACACAATTTATTAAAGAGGCTTTCCTTACTCCACTTCACATTACTTGCACCTTTATCAAAGATTAGATGAGCATATGATTGAGGAGAGATGTCAGTGTATTCAACCCTGTTCCATTGGTCTGCAGTTCTGCCTTTGTTCCAGTACCATGCTGTTTTAATTATTACTGCTTTGTAGTACAGTTTGAAGTTCGGGAGGTTGATTCCTCCCATTTTCTTTTTCCCAAGAATTGCTTTAGCTATTCGTGGGGGCTTATTGTTCCATATAAATTTCAAGAGTGTTTGCTCCATTTCTTTGAAGAATGTCATGGGTATCCTTATAGGGATTGCATTGAATTTATACAATGCTTTCGGTAGTATTGCCATTTTGACAATGTTAAGTCTCCCGACCCATGAGCAGGGGATATCTTTCCATTTCCTCATGTCCTCTTTTATTTCCTGAAGTAGCGTTTTGTAGTTTTCTTTGTACAGGTCCTTTACTTCCTTAGTTAAGCTGATTCCTAGGTACTTGATTTTCTGGGGCACAATTGTGAATGGGATTGTTTTTTTCATGTTGCTTTCTTCTCTCTCACTGTTTGCGTATAGGAAAGCCATGGACTTTTGGGTATTGATTTTATAACCTGCAACTTTACTATACGAGTCTATTGTTTCTAAGAGTTTTTTGGTGGAAGTTATTGGGTTCTCTAAGTAGAGTATCATATCATCTGCGAATAGTGAGAGCTTGATTTCTTCCTTTCCTACCTGAATGCCCTTAATGTCTTTTTCCTGCCTAATCGCTATTGCAAGTACTTCCAGTACTATATTGAACAGCAGTGGAGAGAGTGGGCATCCCTGTCTCGTCCCTGATCTTAGAGGGAAGGCTCTCAGTTTTTCCCCATTGAGGATGATGCTTGCTGTAGGCTTGTGGTAGATGGCTTTAATTATGTTGAGGAAGGTCCCCTCTATACCCATTTTGGCTAGGGTTTTCATCATAAAGGGGTGCTGGATCTTATCAAATGCTTTCTCTGCATCTATTGATATGATCATATGCTTTTTATCTTTTCTTTTGTTGATATGGTGGATTATGTTGATTGATTTCCGAATGTTGAACCATCCTTGCATCCCTGGGATGAATCCTACTTGGTCATGGTGTATGATCTTTTTGATGAGTAGTTGGATTCTATTTGCTAGTAGTTTGTTGAGGATCTTTGCATCTGTGTTCATCAGGGATATCGGCCTGTAATTCTCTTTCTTTGTGGTATCTCTGTCTGCTTTTGGTATCAGTGTGATATTTGCTTCGTAGAAACTGTTTGGAAGTGTTTTTGATATTTCAATTTCGTGGAAAAGCTTAAAGAGCATAGGGAGTAAGTCCGCTTTAAAGATTTGGAAGAATTCACTAGTGAATCCATCCGGGCCAGGACTTTTGTGCTTGGGGAGACTTTTTATTACCATTTCAATTTCCTTGATGGTGATAGGTCTGTTCAGGTATTCCAGGTCTTCTTGGTTCAGCCTTGGGAGTCTGTAGGAGTCTAGGAATTTATCCATTTCCTCGAGGTTTTGATGTTCCGTGGCATAAAGCTTCTCAAAGTACTCCCTGAGGATCCTCTGAATTTCTGTGGTTTCTGTTTTAATGACCCCCTTTTCATTTCTGATTCGGTTTATTAGGGTTTTCTCTCTCCCTTTCTTTGTGAGTTTTGCTAGAGGCTTATCGATCTTGTTAATTTTCTCAAAGAACCAGCTCTTGGTTTCATTGATCTTTCGGATTGTTTTTTGGGTTTCCATCTCGTTAATCTCTGCTCTGAGTTTTATTATTTCCTTTCTCCTGTTCGGGTTGTGCTCCTTTTTTTGGTCCTTCTCCAAGCTCTTAAGCTGTGAGGTTAGGTTACTTATGTGTGCTCGCTCCTCCTTCCTGAGGAATGCTTGTAGAGCTATAAACTTTCCTCTTAACACAGCCTTTGCTGTGTCCCATAAGTTTTGGTAACTCGTGTTCTCATTTTCATTCGTTTCTAGGAATCTTTTGATTTCCTCTTTGATTTCCTGTCTAATCCACTCGTTGTTCAATAGTGCACTGTTTAACTTCCAGGTGTTTGATTTAGTTTTCTGTTTTTGTGTGTGATTTACTTCTAATTTCAGCGCATTATGGTCTGAGAAGATTGTTGATACAATCTCTACCTTCTTAATTTTATGGAGGCATGTTTTGTGGCTCAGCATGTGGTCTATCTTGGAGAATGTTCCATGTACGCTTGAGAAGAATGTGTATTCAGCTTTTTGTGGATGAAG